CACATCTTGAACAGCAATTAACCACTAAGAAGAATGTATGCAGTGTGTTAATTATTGAAACTGTCCTAGCGATTTGATTTGAAACTGTCTCATTGCTATTTGTTTATCAATAAAATTATGGAAAAAAACCAACCAAACAGTCTGTGAGGAGATGATAAATAACACTGTTCAATTTAGCTCTGTGGGTTTATAAACCCACTTGCAGATGTTCTTTTTTTAAAATAAAATCTTTTCTTAAATCTTTTACTTATTTACTTACTTATTTGGTACAGGGCCTCGCTGTGCAGCTTGGCCTCACAGTGATCCTGCTGTCTCAGCCTCCCCAGAGCTGGGAGTACAGGCGTGCTCCACCATGCCTGGCTTCCATGGCCAGCACCTGCACCAGTCTCCCATATGGCATGCTGTACCAGGATTGGACATGGGTTCTCGTGCCTGCCAGGCAGTTGCTTTGACTGTTGAGCTATCCCTCTGGCCCCTGAATGTATACCTAATATGTTTTCATTGTCATTTCTTTCTTTCTGTTTCACAGCTAGGACAGCATTTGAAATGAGCAATGAGACATTTGTCACTGAATTCATCTTCTTGGGATTTTCAAATCACCCCAACTTGCAGGGCTTCTTCTTCCTCGTCTTCCTGGTCATCTACCTAACAACTCTCCTGGGGAATGTCCTCATAATAATGGCCACCAGGATCAGTCCTGCTCTTCACACTCCAATGTATTATTTCCTCAGCAACTTGAGCTTCTTAGACATCTGCTACACATCGACCACCATTCCCGTCATGTTGGTAAACTTCTTCCGAGAGGAAAAGACCATCTCCTATGAAGGCTGCCTTTCCCAGATGTTCTTCCTTCTGACATGTGCTGGCACCGAAGGCGTCTTACTGGCTGCCATGGCTTATGATCGCTATGTGGCCATTTGCCGCCCTCTTCAGTATCCAGTACTCATGAGTGGGAAGGTCTGTGTTTGGCTGGTGACTGGGTCCTGGCTCTGTGGACTGGTGAATTCTGTGATACACACGGTGCTGGCAGCGACACTCACTCTGTGTGGGCCCAATGAGATCAGCCACTTCCTCTGTGACATCCCCTTGCTCCTGAAGCTCTCTTGCTCAGACACTTCTGTCAATGAGTCAGTGCTCCATGTGGCCAGCGCCACCATTGGCCTGAGCCCCTGCCTATTTACTGCCGGGTCCTACGTACTCATCATCTCAGCCATCCTTCGGATCCCCTCTGCTCAAGGCAGGAGCAAGTCCTTCTCCACCTGTGCATCCCACCTGACAGTGGTGGTCATCTTCTTTGGAACAGCCAACTTCAACTATGATAGGCCGAGTGAAGGCTACTCCTTGGACATGGATATTCTGGTCTCTGTTCTCTTTTGTGTAGTGACCCCCATGTTGAATCCCATTATCTACAGCCTGAGAAGTAAGGATGTCAAGAGTGCCCTAAAGAAGCTGACTACGTGGTTTGTACACCCTGACAATATGAATGTCTAGAGCAATAATCTTCAAACTGGAGCATATAGCCTGAGAAACCCTCCAAGTAGTCTTCAATATATATAGAGTGTGCTTCTCTAACTGGAGTCTCATTTCCTATATATAAGCTCACCAAATTGATCTTTCCTGAGAACTCTTCACTCCTTCTTTTTCACATTGCCTTTTTCCCACATCATAGTATGTGTCAGGTTTTGTACTAGTCTTTGGCACCATCTGTATCCTTCTGAAACCTAGATTCAATGGTAGTATAAACTCAGTAAAGATGATATGCTTGGAATACCTCTGGAATCATAAAGGAGACAATCAAAAGGTCTAGAGAAATGAATGTTAAAATGAATACATTTCATGTGATACTCTGACAGTAGCTCCCAATTTTAAGTACTCAAAGAGAGACCAGAACACCATCCCTCTATAAAAGCCTCTTGCAGTTCTAGGGAAATAGCTCAGTAGTCTAGGTACTTGCCTGGCAAGCACAAGGACCCTGGTTCGATCCCCAGTACTGCATACCATGCTGGCCCCAGAGCCCATGGAGCTCCAAGCTGGGAGTGGTGGTGTACATCTGTGATCCCAGCACTGGGGAGGCTGAGGCAAGAGGATCGCAGTGAGTCCAAGCTGAGTAATGAGATCCTGTACTAAATAAATAAACAAATAAATAAATAATTTTTTAAAAGTCTCTTGCAGAACCCATTGATAAAGGGAGCACCAGCATCCTCATAACACTTGCAGGGCTTCTTCCTTGTCTTCCTGTCCTCTGTGGCCTGGCAATGGCATTGGGGACAGCACCCTGACATGGGCCCTGTGATCTCAGTCATGTGTGAGATTCTGAAGGAGTAGAGGTCATTTGAGTAAGTAATACTCAGATTATTTAATCTATAGAAATCTTTGACAGTTATTAAGTGATCATGGTGTCTGTAAACCTGAAATAATGGTCCTCCTATTAAAATATTACCTGATTTTTATATATAAAATAATATATATGAAAAACTATTTTTAAATTGTTTATATTATTATAGGGCTAGTGCTCAAATTCAGGGCCTGAGGCATGCTAAGAAAGTTCTCTACCACTGATCTACATCCCCCAACTCCTAAAAATTCTTAAGTCTGATCACTAGAACCATGACTGAAGTCATTATAAGCAGAGTCACCGTATCCAGTTCTTAGACCTTCTGGGTTCATCAAGCCAATACAGTGTAAAAGCTCTGTGGCACATAGGATGACATAAACCCCTCTGCATCCCTAGCAGAAGAATCACACTAAAATTTAGTCTTGTGATCTACTAGAATTTAGACCAAAGCCATGTCTTCTTTAATAACTTTTCTCCTTTGGAGAAATGAAAATTCACTACTACTAGATCTTAAAAGATACTGAGTACTTGCTCAGCACATGCAAAGTGATATGATGAGTTGAACTGTCCATGTGAATCATGTGTTCTCTGACCTACCAAGCCACAGATGGGGGAGGGTGGAGCAGTACAACACCCTCAAGCAGAAGTGATGACAAGATGAGGCGCAACACCATCTTGAAGCCATAAATTAGCTGCCAGGCTCTGCTCATCTCCCTTGACACAAGTCAATGGCTTTGTGGGTTGTTCTCAAAGGTCAGTATACTAAAGAAAAAGAATATGGAAGCTGCTTAACAAATAGTTTCACAGAATACTCTGGCACCACTTGGAATTAACTCATACAGCATTGATCGCAGTTTTGTCCTGGAGTGGCCTTGAAGAATTGGGATAGGACTGGGGAATTAGCTCAGTAGAATAGGTACTTGCCTGGCAAGAGCAAGGTCTTGAGTTCAATATCTGGTACCACAAAAAAAAGAATGGGGATAAATGTAATTCTCCCAGGGAGAAAATTTGAGCAATGAATCTGGCTGTTCCTTCTACTTAAAAAGATTACCAGAAATATTATTTAAAACCTGTTCGGAAGGTAGATAATGGTGGATTGATGATAATGAGATCCTTTTAACAAGAGAATCCAATCAGAAAAGAAGATATATGTGGATCAACCTCAAAGAACGATTATGAAGCAGCCTATGAAGACTCAGCTTATCCAATGGAAATATTCATAAAATGGTCCTTGTTTTAGAGAATCTTTCAAGTCTTTATTTGATGACTATAAGTTTGAGAGCCCAATTTGCTAACAGTAGAAATCAACTTTGAGTCCTTGATAATATTGTCAATCAGGGAAATACGGATTATATTCCACACCTTCAACCATAGAAACTCAGATATTTTCATACTGCACTAGTCATTTGAGTGGTTATGCCTAGATTTCGCCCAAAGCCTTATGTGGTCCTACGTGGGGTGCCTGGGAGGTGATCTGATCATGAGGGCACAAGACTTAGTGGATTCCTCCACTGATGAGTTTATATGATGTTTGGAGGTGGAGCCTGGGCAGAAGAGATGGGTCACTGGGGGCGTGGCTTGGAAGAGCATACCTCTGCTTTTTCCCTTGAGCTTCGTTTTCTGCCTGCCACACAACTACCCTCTGCATGCCACTTGCCTTAGAGAAGCCAGTGTGCACTGAAACCTCTACCATTTGTGAGCCAAAATAACCCTCTCTCCTTAAGTTGTGGGTGTTTGTCCCACAGATGAAGGAAGTAACCAAGACAGACATGCATACATCTATTAGTGCCATCTCATTTGTGAATTTATGGGTGCCTGAGTCATAATATTATCATACAGGGCTCTTTTCTTGCTAGAACTATGGAGGGTGTAGAAGAGAAGAAAAAGAAGGTCCTGCTGTGCATGAAACCCTTAAGAAAAAATGAAGACATTTCTCAGAGTTGAAGATAAAGTGCCTGAGAAAGAAGTTTGCCCAGAAGATGCTTTGCAAGGCAAGGAGGAAGCTCATCTATGAAAAAGCCAGGCACTATCATAAGGAGTACAGACAGATGTACAGAACTGAGATCTAAATGGCTAAGATGGTGAGAAAAGCTGGCAACTTCTATGTCCTTGCAGAGCCCAAACTGGCATTTGTCATCCAGATCAGGGGCATCAATGGTGTGAGCCCAGGCTGGGAAGATGGCTCAGCAGAATAAGCACTTTCCTGGCAAGCACAAGGGTTTGAGTTCAATCCCCACTTTTGAAAGAAAAAAAAAAATGGTATGAGCCCAAAGGTTCTCAAGGTGTTGCAGCTTCTTCATCTTTGCCAAATCTTCAATGATACCTTCATTAAGCTCAACAAGGCTGTAATTAACATGCTGAGTATTGTGGAGCCATACATTGCATGGGGGTACACAAACCTGAAATTAGTGAATAAACTAATATACAAGCGTGGCTATGGCAAAATCAGCAAGAAGCAAATTGCCTTGACAGAAAATTCATTGATTGCTCCATCTCTTGGTAAATATGGAATCACCTGCATGGAGGATCTGATTCATGAGATCTATACTGTTGGAAAATGCTTCAGAGGCAAATAACTTCCTGTGGCCATTCAAGTTATCATCTGCATGCGGTGGAATGAAGAAAAAGACCACCCATTTTGTGGAAGGTGGAGATGCTGAAAACAGGGAAGACGAGATCAGCAGGCTTATTAGAAGGATGAACTAAGGCATCTACCACGGTGCTTTTATGATTTGGTCAGATACTAAAGTATCTCATTCCAAATTGAAAAAAAAATATTATCACACAGAATGTTGTTTAATGATGCAGGATCTCATATAGGAAAGCAAGTGTAGCCACTGGCTATTATCTTGTACCTCTTACTGAAAGAAAAACAGAATGTAGGAATTGTCAACTGAATATCCACTGAGGTATCAACTAGGAAAAAAGACCTTGCAACTCTGAAGTGCTTTTGCCAGGATGCAATACTGTAGCTTTCCCTTGTTCATGAGGATATGTTCCAACACCCCCAGGGAGTGCTCAAAACCACAGCTAGTGGTGGGTCTCTTATAAACCATGTGTTTATTTTTATGGATGTACACCTACGATAAAGTTTAACTTATAATGAAGCACAGTTAGAGGTTATTCACAAAAAATAATTATAAAACAAAACTATTATAAACTAGTATAATAAAGCCGGCCAGATAGCTCAGTGGACTAAAGCACCTGCTAAGGCAGAGCACAGCGGCCAGGGCTTGATCCCTGGCGTGCTATGCCAGCCCCGCCCCCAGGGCTTAATAAAACAGTGATTGAGACTGGATGTGGTGGCACACACCTGTAATCCCAGCACTTGGGAGGCTGAAAAACAAGAGAATCACTACGAGTCCAATCTACATAGTGAAACTCTATAAACCCTGTAGACTCTGTGGATCCTGTCCTAAATACAGAAAAAAATAGTATAATAAAAATTATATGAATGTGGCCTCCTCTCTCTCTCTCTCTCTCTCTCCTTGTCTCAAAATATGCTTTCACTTTTTTACTTAAAGAAAGTACTTCATGACTTCTCTTTGGATATCTGAAGCCATTTCTCCTGAAGCCATGAGCCATGGGTCTATAGCCAAATGGTGAAAGTGGGATTGTTTCTCTCACTATTTACTCCAATACCCACACATAGGACTATTGTTTATATGCTGTGTTATGATAGTAGTGTGAGTCTCTAAAGAAGTGTTTCTAGTGTACATAATAATGGTTTCCTTGAACTAGAAATTGATTGTCACTACCATTTTGGATTCTGGAAGCAACTGAAGCAACAGGGGAAGTAGGAGGTTGTATTTTTTTAAAGTGACTCTTTCCCACTATAACAGAGACAATGATTTGATTTTTATGATTATCAGCAGCTTCCAAGTGTCACTCTTTCATGTACTGACTTCACCTTTTGTCCTGTATCTTGGCAGCCAATAAGAAAAGCTATGCATTTCCTCTATGCGAGCCCAACCTGGCCCCACCTGCTAGACACAGTAAAAGACAAAGCCAAGTCCTCACTTTCTCTTTACTTTGGAGAAAGCTAATCTGTTCTCCATAAATAATTTTTTGGGTTTTCTGTAGGGGTAATAAACTTTTTTTTCATAGATAATAGTGTCTATGTGTCCTAACATCCATAAGAATTTTTTCATGGAGG